GTTCTGTCCTCATCATTCAAACTCCTTGCTGTAAATTTACTAATGAGCTTTTGTTTTTCCTCTTTCATCAATCTTTTCATTTTCTTAAGATTATTTTTTCAATTTCTTCACTTTGTATTAAGCATTTTGCATTTGCATCTGCTTGCTTATCCTCCAGGGTGTTTGATTTTAACGATATTGACTGAATATGCTTAAACCAACCTTTATGACAATTTTCCAGCATATTTCGAATGTTAACACGGTTTTCCCATATTTTGACTGTGTGATGTTAATATTCGAACTTGAGGTCGAAACAAGCATCTGATCAATTTCTAAGATAATCAGGCGAAACTGTTACCTCAAGAATGCTTAAAAGGATTCCACACATTTTGACTGTGTGGCCTAGTTTTGAGCCAAGTGGATCCATATTCGAAACTGACCTAGAAATCATGTTAACAACCTTTCTGGCAATTTTCAGGATAGTTGCACCTGAACAATGGCAGAATGAATGCATGAATGAATGAATGAATGAATGAATGAATGAATGAATGAATGAATGAATAAATGAATGAATGAATGAAAGGGTTTCTAGGCGTGGGCCCATTTTGGAAAAGAAGAGCGGTGGTTTAAGCTTCAAATAATGTATCTAGTCCAACCGTGTAATCCCTGAATCCGGCCTTCACCAAATGAAAAAAAGTAATAAAATAAGATATAATGATAATAATAAAAATTTAAAAACTACAACATTAAATTTAGACATAAATTTCAAGCTGAACATACTAAAGTAGGCATACTTAATTAGTTTTTTTTAAACCGAAATAAAACACTGGTTTTTATCTTATTTTTACATAAATCAACAGTGAATCAAAGACAATGGAAATATAAATGAATATTTTAAAGGAAAAAGCTATATGGACACGGCCCAGTCATTTTTCGCCTTCTTTATTCTATAGTAAATCTGTCACATTTAAAGCTTAATTCTGGACTTCTATTAAAAACTGAGCCAGTTTTATTTCATAAACTTAAACATCAACACTAGACAAGTTCATCGAAAGCCCAAAAAATGTCCTTTTTGTAGCGCCAACCCTAGATTTCACAATATTTCTTGAATTTTGGTTAAGTCCAACTGTCAAATTATCACAGTTTTCAAAGTTCCCATATGCGTCGGCGTGTACGTTACTTTTCACGAATCTTTCCCCAAAGAAATGGGGGCGGTTTCCGTGGGCCCAAAGTGTTAGGAAGTTTGGGGGGAACCCTTCAAAATCACTTGCCCCTCACCGGGGCTGTGGGTTTCGAATTTCCCGACAGGGACTTTTTGATTCCCCTTCATGTGAGGAAACATCCACTATGCTTACGGGGGGAACGTCGGTGGGGTTCTACTCAGGGCCAGTCGTTGGGCCTTGAAATAATGCAACGGAAGGGCAACCCGAGGTCTTTCCTCCACCAGAAAGCTGGAACGTCGCGATAAACCAGTAACTGTGTCCGATGTGACTAAAACCCAAAACCAGTAATACCAAAGAATGAGAACCTGCAAAATACACACAAAAAACAATTTTGAAAAAAATAAATACAGAATTCATCATTGAAATGTCCATCAGAAATTACACTAAATGTACACTGATTACAATAAATACACTTAAAATGACTTTAAAATAGGGGCCACATCAAAATTTTTAAAGAACTATTTTTCTAGCTGGGTCTAATTCCGGACCGGGGTGAGACCTAAATAAATCCAAAGTTCAATCGAATCAAATATTGTGTCCTTTTTCTAGTAATTTAAGATATGCAAGTACATTTAATATTATACAAAAAATCGGAGTTCTCTAACATGAAAAATTAAATAAATCGACCATTTCCAGTTTTGGGACCATTTCACAGAATTTCCAGGCTCGGGCCAATAAATAAATGATAAAAAAGTGATGTTACGGAAAAAGTCATATTTTTGAAATAGCAAGGAATTTTTATGAAAACAAAGTTTTTTGTGACCGGTTTTATGTAATAAGTATTGAAATTATACAATAATTTTACACCAATAATTCTATAAAATGGTAAACAAATTATCCATTTCGGACATTTTAAAAAAAAACGTTGAAATTTTGGGCTAGAAATATTTAAAATTAAAAGGCATTAAATGTGTAATTGTATGATTTTTTTTAAAAAATAAAATCCTTAATTAAAACTTTTTTGAATTAATACTTTTTACATAAATATATAGGTAAAAAAAAGTTAAAATTTTCAAACATCTACAGACTTCACTGTTTGTTTAATTTTTTAATACCATGTTATCAAAAAAGGCCCCAGTATTTTCAAAAAAATTAGGCAAATTTTTGGGTTTTAATGTTAAAAAATTAAAGGGACACCTTTTAAATTAAAATATGGCTGTAAAAAAAAAAAATACCCGTTTTCCATTTTAAAAACAATGTTAAATTTTTTCCAAAAAGAAAGATTAAAAATAATTTTCTTATCAAACAGCCATCATTTCTTTTAAAAATATTTTTATTAAAAAAATAATTTGGGAAAAAAACGCCTAATAGAAAGGGGCACAAAAATTTTTTTCTTCTTTTAAAAGTGCTCCCCGATAAGGGGCTGTTTTTTTTTACCAACTGGTAATATTTTTTTGGGGTTTGAAATTTAGAGCCCAAAAATCCAGGTTTCCCTTGTAACAGGAAAACCATTTTTTTCGGGGTCACAAGCCCCTGGGTTTTTGCAAAATTTAAAAAATAAACTCGACAAACCCCCTTTAGAAATAGAGGGGAAAATTTAAATTTAAAAAAAACAAAATTTGCCAATTAAACCAAAATTTTTTTAAGAAACAAAAGTACTCAAAAATTATCAATTTTTAACACAAAATTACTATCTTGGGGCAAAAAACTTTGGAAATGGGGTCTTTTGGGTTTCAATTCCCCTTTTACAAACCTTTCAAAAATTTATTTTCAAGCCAAAAAAGGAACATTTAAAATAAGTGCCCTGGGAAATAAACCCGGGGGGCTTTAACATGCCCAAATTTCTTCGGCATCAGGGTTTCATCTAAATTTTAATTGAGAAAAGTTTAAAATTTGTTAAATTTTTTATTTAAAGGATCTATCCGCCCCTTTTCCAGAAGTTTTTATGCAAAATTTTAATGAATAAAATTTCAAGTCTTTAAAACCCCCAATAAAGCTCATGAAAAACATATGAAAAATTTTCCGGGGCAGCCTTTTTAAAAAGGGCATTTGGCTTTGAACCCCTTTACAAAAAGATGGGGAGGATAAAACCCACCTTTTAAAGCCTGGCTTCTACAACAAACTAAGGGAACGGGATGGAATTCCCCTCCCAAACTGACCCCATCACTAGGGGATCGCAAAAAAAGAAGGGGGCCCCAGCTTCAAATTTGGGGCCCCAAAATTTTTTTCAAAAGAGAGACATCTAGCAAAAACAAAAAAGCAAGCTAAAATGTACATTTTCAGGGGGAAAATAAAACTAGAACAAGGGGCCATTTTTTGAAAGCGCGATTTTAAAAAAAATGGTCTCAAAGGGAAAACTTAATGGGTACCCGTGCCAAATTCCCGTTTTGAAATTTCATTGGATTTTTATTTCTGGGAAACTGTAAAACCTTCTTTTCACGATTTCTTCGCTAGTTGCTCGGGAATGGGAAGTTTGGGGACTTGGGGTGGTATTAAAATCTTTCCCCATCCTTCCAAAACCCTTTTTTGGTTTTTTTTCATTTTATCCAAAAATTGGAAAAAAAAAAAATTGGGTTGGGAAACCTTTTGGGGGCTTATTCCCAAGGGTACGTCTGAGTGAATGTGCTGTCCAAAGCGTAACAAAGAATTTCTCCACACAGAAATGTGAAGGATTCAATAGAGCAGTGTTATCATTTATCAACCTTGCCTAAAGAAATAAATTTGGCAAGAAACTTTGCCGTCAGTCTTGCCTCAAAAACACTGCAGATAAATTATTCACTGCATGTCTCTGTTCAGAAAAAAGTCAGCAGCATAGCGGCTCATACTCTGTCACCAAGAGTTGGCAAATATCTGAAATCAGCTTCAAAAAGGCTACAAAGGCATAAAATCTACCAAAGAACACTGCAATTTAAGAAAAAGAGCAGACAAATGCGATCCAAATTGGAGCACATGTACTATCTTGCTAGAAGTAGGCTCTACAGGCCAGTACACTGAAAAAATACAAAAAGGGACAGCTTGACGAGGCAGGGCCTTTTAACCTTTTTTTCGTGGGCCCTTTACAAAATTTTTTTTAAACGTTTCTTCCCCGAAAAAGGGTGCTTTGGGCGGGCAAAAAATTTTAAGTAAAAAAAGAAAAGGAGACCCCTCACGTTTAGGGGAAAAATTTTTGAAAGGAAAGACCTATTTTTCCGGGTCGGAAAACGGGAAAGGGGTCAAAAAATTTTCGGGGAAAAATTTTTGATTAAAAAAAAATAAAAAAAAAACAAAAAACATTAGAAACGAAAAAATTTGAAAAAGAAAAAAATTTCAAGAATCCAAATTTTTCCCCATGTCCCTAAAAGGGGCCCCTTTAATCTTAAAAATTTTTTTAAAAAACTTCCCTTTAAAATTAAAAAAGTCCCCTGTTTAAAATTTTAAACCACTTATATGATGAAAAAATCAAAAAAGGGTTTTTCCAAAAAAATGCAAAATTTTTAAAAGACCCTAGCCCCCCTAAATTGGAAAAAACCTTTTTTTCTGAAAAATTTTTTTTTACTTTCAAAAGCCTCGTACCCAAAAATATGAATAAAGAAACATTTTAAAAATTGTTGCCATAAAATTAATGCTTTTGGGGGCTTGGCTGGAAAATCAAAAGTCGCTGAAATGAACCATTAGAGCAATATCCTGACTTGTTCGGGTCCTATGTCTACGGCTCTCTACGTCTCTTGGATCTCTGTAGCGAAACCGTCCAAAGCCTTGCTTATTCACACATCCTGTCCAACTTTGCATGACACTGTTATGAATGATGTAAGGGAAATAACACTCGCACGGAGTTCGGTACGGTAGATGGTCGGTTACGGGAATTAGATAGTATAACGTGATGTGACATTTTGGCGGGAGAAAACAAGATTTCGTAACTTCTGACAAGTCAGGTGTATTCACTCAACGTTCAAACAAAAAAAGACAACTTGCAGTAAGTTTTGTGTTGCTTTAACTTAAGTTTTACAGGGTTGAGTTTACAGGGTTAAATTCTGCTCAGATATATTTTAGAATGTTAAAGCAGCATGCCTCCAGTCCAGATTCATGCTAGATTCTAATTTTCATGAAAAATTTAAAAATGTATTTAAAAGTAAAATATTGTGAAGTGAATACATAAAGAAAGTACATCTACATCTACATGTTACTCCCGAACAATCAATTCTGACTATGATTGGGAGGCAAGTACTCTAAACACATTGCAAACAGCTCTTACAATCCACATTAATTACCAAAAATAGGTCAAAATAAGCAAAATTAGCCCTTACTGCTTTAGATATTATCTAGGCCTACATCTCTGGTAACCTAGCTGGGGCGGGGGACATACAATGGTCAGTCACAGTGGAAAATCAAAACGGACTGGTTAAAAATATCACCACAACAATCGCCGGTGGAAAATCACAGAGGTTTGCCATAATAAGTATTGCATATTAATGTGCATGAGTAACTACCAATTAAACATTTTAACAAATTTTAAAACAGGCGTACAAATATCCGCCATTCAGAAATAATAGGAGACAAATGTTGCGTGTGTTATTTTTTACAGATGCATGTAAATTTGTGTAAAAGATTGATAAATGGTCACCCGAGAGAGTGAAATGTTCCAGCAATATTTCACAGTGACAATATCCCGCAGCGCTAATTTCACCCCATCGGGTGATGAGTGGAAAGTCACAACTGTCGCAGTGACAATCCTCCAGTAAAAAAAATGGCGAGGATGAGCAGACTTATTTAATTGTTAAAACTGTACTGTACATTGACAGTTTGATATAATACCAAATTTTCTGCCATTAAAAAAACATCCAGATCAGATGGAAGGAAAAATCATGACTCATTGACCCCTGCTATGCTCAGCTTGTAATGTCCCGGGTAGGGCGTATAATTGGATTACACTTGACAATATATCAATATACCATACATGTGTTGTATTGGCATGATAAAAAAGATCCCTATATTTCTACCCTAATCCTGATTCCTGTGCCAGAGATTGAATTCTAGATCTATGCCTCTCAGAACTAAAAGAAGTTTTTTTTAAGATTCACAGCTTTGTTAGGGAATTATTATCTCTTTTTTTTCAAAAAAGTGGAATAAACTTACACATGTTTTTTAAAAATGAATAATTTAATAATGACTATTGCATCTAGTTGTATACAAGAATGTATATTTTGCTCACAAAATGGGGTAGAATCATGACCAAATTTTACATAAAAATATGACTTTACTTATCTCCTCCTCACTTTCTCTGAAGGCTTTAAGGTATTAAATAGAAAGTTTTGGTATATGTTTATGATTATCATTTACACTTGAAGGCAAATGAGCAGTACTCTGAGGTCAAATTTGGCCTCATTTTTCAATTAAAAATTTCAGATTAGTTTTTGTTCCATCATTTACTTATCTTTTGGAAAATTGATTTTAAACATCAAGTAGTTAATGGTGTCTACATGTACACATTAATTCCCAGGCAAGGGTATTTAATCATTGAATTTTATATAATCCCCAAGGTGACATAATTGTGTCCCCATTTTGACATTATTGTGTCCCTATTTTGACGTAATTGTGTCCCCATTTTGACTACTTTAAAGTGTTTGCAAAACCTATTGTTATTCCACTATCAAGAACTGACAGTAATGAAGTGCTGACTGTTTTACAAACAGCTTTTCTTTAATCCCAAGACATTTGTCCTTGTTTTTATAACAGATGAGCTGTGAAAAAAGGTCATCTTCAGTTATTGTAAATCAATAATCCATCAGCATTTCTGTATACATGTATATATAGATGTTACATGGCTATTTTTTTATCATTTTAATATTATTTATGCTGTCAAACTGAACAAATTGTCCATGATAAGTTTTTGTAATGTTTTCTTTGGAACATTTTAATTCTAATTAGTTGTATTGGAAAGTTCGATGTCAGGCATGTAACTCTATAATGGCAACAATGTGATTGAAAGTAATGTTTGAAGTTGGCTCACAGCTGCTACTGCTCATAGATATTGATGAATTCCAGGTATGTTGGACAGCTATACTGGGCTATTTCCTGCTTGCCAGGCATACACAGATAAGTTAATACTGCATCCATGGCTTGTACTGTAAGTATATTGATCAACAGTTACTGGTGGTTGGAATTCCTATGTAATGTTACAGTTTATTCTTATAAATATGAATAACAATTGCTGTATGTTTTAAATGTCCAGGTATTACACTCTTTCATTGTTTTAGATTTTGACTATATATGGAATTTAGAGGTTGAGGATTGTTATTGAAATATAACTTATCAATACAGGTGAGTTGCTGTACAGTTTATTTGTAAAAAAGATTCTGTTTCTTTTATTGTGTTGATTTTTAAAACAGAAGGTTATAATGGTAGTAAACAGAAAAAGGTACAGATCTGAAAGGTAAAAGATCAGATTATTTTTACAAGTTTGTGAAAAGGGAGATAGATTTACAGACTTATCCTCATTGAATCAGAACAGCTAATATTGTACATTTGTTTCATTTGAACTGATTCAACAATGATTTTATTTATAAACAAATTATGTTTGAATGCATTTATAGGATGTTAACATTCATATAACATATATGGAGGTTTATTATAGACCTGTATATTTTTTTCTATATGTATCACATGCAACAGAATAAAATGCTTTATTAAACTCCAGTGTGATATGGAAGGACATTATGTCAATTATGCCATTTGTCAAATATTTCAAAAGGTATCAACATGAAACTTGGAATATACATGTACTTGCTGACATCTTGGCAAGATGCAGTTGTCAGACATGGGGCATAATTCTAAAAGCAATATTTTTGGAGTTATGTCCCTTTTTAACAAAATTTTTAACAAACAAGCATTTAAATGCCCCATGCACAGTGCTGTTGCTTCTATTTGAAATGACTTATATCACATAAATGTTTTAGATTTGATATTATGCTACAGATATAAACTGATGTTCTATTAGATTGATAAAATAAGAAACAAATGCAGAGAAAGTTAGGGCTAAATTATTGCCTATATATAAATACATGCAACAAGAAAAAGGGGGTTAATTGTATAAAGTTGCCAAAAATCTGTCATAACTTTGATCTCCCTTGTAATTTGGTGGAGATATACTTTAAATAGTTTAAATATTCAGCTTTAGTTGTAGTAGGAATGGAAAAATATTTTCACTCATCATGCAGAACAAGTAGCAGCTAACTCCTATGAGCAGGCTTCATTTGAGCCGTGTCACGACAAAACCAACATAGTGCATTTGCCACCAGCATGGATCCAGAAAACCCTGCGCATCCGCTCAGTCTAATCAAGATCCATGTTGTTCGCTATCAGTTTCTCTACTTGTAATAGGGTTTGTAAGCGAACAGCATGGATCTTGATCAGACTGCTGCAAATTCTTGCAAATTTTTCTTTTAAATAGGAGTGGACAAGTGCAATTTACGGTCCCTAGAACTTGCATATTTATAATACTGGTTAATAATTAAGAAACCAGAATAACTTAATGGTACAAAATAATAAGAACTTAAATCATTGACGTGTTCTTTTCATATACCTTAAGAAAATTTAAGTAAAGTTACATATGGCCTGCTAAGTTTGCCCAAATTTTTGATTCTGTTTAATCTGAAACATTTTTTTACTTGTCTCAATGATATTTATAAGGTAAATTGGGTAAACTTTAATTTGTCCACGGTAGGACAACCTCGGCAATATGTACAATTGATTTTTTCGCCCCTGCAGTTTATGATCTAAATGTTAAAGTGTAGTGAATGAAGCCCCTGAAATACAAACAGGCATGTATGCTGTATTGGCAACAAAGATGTTTTCCTATCTATGTATGGTGTGACATATTTTTTGTACTAATTGACATCAAAATCTTTAATACATTGTGGTTTATATAGCAGAATAAAGAATTGGGTAATATAACATAACGTAATATATGATGTAATGTAATATAATATAATGTAATATGATGTAATGTAATATAATATAATGTAATATGATGTAATGTAATATAATATAATGTAATATGATGTAATGTTATGAAATATTGTAATGTAATGTAATATGATGTTATGTAATATAATGTAATGTAATATGATGTAATGTAATGAAATATTGTAATGTAATGTAATATGATGTTATGTAATATAATGTAATGCAATATGATGTAATGTAATGAAATATTGTAATGTTATGAGTTGTTATTTAATATGATGTTATTGTAATGTAATGTAATATACTATGAATTTTTATTGTAGATATGGATAGAAATCACAAGAACTGCCCAGATTGTAAAGTTGCAAGAGCTAAGATGGTAAGATTAAATATATTAACTTATAAATAAATCTATTTTCAACCATTATTTATTTTCATTGTGGTATAAGTGAGCGTATATATTTAAACATTTCTTCTGTTTTGAGATGTCCTTACTTTTGGATTCTGATGGTGACTATTACTTAAATAATACCGGTACTAATAACTTAATTAAATTAAACATGCCATGTGGAAGTTCTTCCAATGATGTTAAGTATGAGGACACCTTTCTATATTTTGAGATCTTAATACTGAAGATTTATCCTTATAACACCTATCCATACTTAAGTTCTACAATATTTTAAATTATGCATTGCTGATGAAATTTGATTTCCCCTTTATATTTTATGAAAACTGCAATACTCTACTAAGTTTTTGTAAAGTTGCTGATCTGAAAAAGTCATAAACCTATTGTCTACATAACCAATTTACTTTAATGAATTTAAATTTCAAGAGCTGATTTCTTAACATTGATTGTATTTCTTAAACTGAAGTTGAACTTATTTTAGTACAAAAGGAAAAGCCGTCTTAAAATAATATTGTGACACAAGTGTAAAGTTATTAAGGATTGGGTAATTCAAAGTAAAGATAAAGACCAAATCAAGAGGTCATAATCCTGTACATTTGGTCACAGTCTTTGATCTCGGACTTTAATTTCAAATTAACTTATGCCTTGCTATGAAGTTTAGGCATTTAACATTTTAATCCATATGTTGAAATTGAATTTTAATCTTTGATTGCATGACTGTGCTGGAATATAAGAAAATCACATGCATCTGGAATTATAGGAAATAAATTATGTATGTAAAGATTATTTAACTCAAATTGAATACTTATTAATGATACTTAAAGTGACATTATGCTCATTTTTTTCATTGACAAATTGTGCTGAATTGAACATATATTTCAAAAGATTAACTGTTATAATGGTGATTGACCAACAGTTGATAATAGAAAATGTTAAGGATATAATATAAATCTTCATAAAACATGAAAAGACAGTGCCCCACTCTTTTTATGAATTGAATATTACAAGTAAATTCTGATGGATATTAACAGAAATTCAAAATGAGTTATTGTTCATGTTTAGCAAATAAAAAAAAATTGAAAGGAATTATGGCAAATTCTAAAATTATTTTAACTTTCACCTGTTCACTCACTATATACACCTGGATAGAAAAATGTCACTTTAAACTTTTCTAGATGTTAGTTTATCATTGGACAGTATTTAAGTAATGTAGTACTCCTTTTAAACCAATGTTGTACCTTTTTTTTTTAGGTCTATTTTGTCATTTTGGGCTTGATTTAAACCAAAACTAAGGTGTTTTTTTAATTCAACAAAAGGGACCTTTAATACCAAACATTTATATATAAAATATTTGAAAGAATAATGATTCACTTTTCACTCTGCTTTAAAAGATATAGAAGCAAAAAGGACATAACATACTGGTATGGCTAATCTATGAATGAAATTGAAGTCATGAACATTTCTAGGGATTGTTGCAAAACATTTTTCTATCATAAATTATACTACCAATTAGCACGATGCTTATTTTAAATTGATTAAGTTACAGCTTAATTAGTTTTGTTTAATGGTACTGTGTAAAAATGAAATATCTAGAAATAGTGGATTATTCCTACTTTATAACTCCTCTTAGCAAGTAAATTCACAGGACGTTATTTAATTATGGACCCACCATATAAAAAACGCTTAATCTGCTCAATTTCTTTAATAATTTTTTTTTCATCTGCATATTATCATTTATAGAGGATATCAAGATGAATATTTGAAGTTGGTCAGCCAACGCTGAGTATAGAGCCTGGTCTGAGACTGCACGGATGTCTATCCTTACCTGGCTGAGACTATACTGGTGGCAAAATCTAATATATCACTTTAGGCTTCAAGCAGGTTACTTTCAGGGTGAATTAAGCTATTAAGAAAAACAATTGATGTTTACAAACCTTGGGCTCAAATCAAACTTTTCAGGGGAGTGCTGGCCTAGTGGTTGAAGTGTCTGTCTCTCAATCCAGGGATCGTGTGTTCAAGCTACGCTTCGGTCACAATCATGTTTCATGCCTCAAATGACACCTATACTAGTTAATTCCAAGAGGCAAAAAAATTGTGTTTAATCTAAACCAACTGAACTCTTCAGGGCAGACTGTTTTGTTTTCTGACATAACTTAGGTGGAGAAGTTGGAAGTTAGTTGTGGAATTTAGTGATGGTTTAGAAATCAGGTGCAGCCTTTCTGGAAATATGCTGAGGCCTTATAATAATAATAATAATAATAATAATAATAGTCAAAACAACAATTTTCTTTTTTTCAAGGTACTGGCTACATAAGTTAATGATGAGTGATGTTTTAGACGCACACACTAGTTTATCTTTTTTTCAAAAAAAAGAAAAAAGGGCGAAACTCTATAATTTTGATAACCATTAGGTGAATTTTATCTAGCATTCAATTTTTCCCTGTTAAATCTCACTCTATCATACATGTTGACAATGTATATCCCATCTCAAATGACAAATAAATGTTATCTCTAGGCAAAAATCAATTCTCTGTTGAAACTAAAATTGTTACTCTAAATTGATTTTTCAACCTGCTTTTGAGTAAACATTTCCGTTTTACTAACTTGAAAGAAAAACTGGTAACATACATTATTAAATGAAGAAATCCTGTGGCTTTAAACTGTTGAAAATTCTTTTGTCATTAAAACCAAGTATATTGTATACAAAAACCTGATAATACTGCAGTGGATTATCATTTTTGTTCCTTTTCAAATGTTTGTTATCCATTAATCAATTGCGTTGTGAATGAGCATTTAACCTGTTTACAAAAATTGTTCGTTTAAGATTTGTATCTTTGGATTTTTTTCTTCTTAATACGTCAACATGACCTCAAACTAGAGAGTAAAGGCAATAAGGATTTTAAAAAAAAGTATTAAATTTACAAAATATTTGCTTTTATTGTGCAATTATCTTTTTTTAAAGGTATTGCTTTTCCTTTGAGAAGACAAAAAAGTAATGCAAAATATTGTATTTTAAGCAAATGTACAAACAAAATATTTCAGTTTTTAACCAACTTTACAAACCTACTACTAATAAACTCTTCAGATTAAAGGTAAAAATAAGAATTAACTGGTGTCTGGTTCTTCAAATTAAGGTATATAAAAGAATCCAGAAAATCTGAAATAAGTTAAGAAAAATCAAATTGTTTTAATGGTTCAAAGAGAAGAATATACAAAATCTCAAGGGAAGTTGTAATTCAATTGACATGAATTGTAAATGAAAGAATGTAAGAAACAGACCTTGCAGTGGTTTAACGACTTTTTAACGAGATTTAATTTTATATTGTGATTCAGATATGTTTCAGCAAATGTGAATTTAACGATGACACTGCTATAAAAATGTACAAGTTTAACAATCAGTTATATATAATTGAATTACGCAATAGTCAGATTGGTATGTTTGTCTACGATGTATCGCCACAAGAGTGTCCCATTATCATCACTAGTATTTTTGTTGACACAGTAAACAGTCGCGACTACCTGTCGAAAGTTTAACCCCTCGTTGTATGCTACGGACAAACACTGATTTTGCCTCATGGTGGCGTGTCAGAGCGTCGCTTCATTAACTTTATTTTTTATAAGAGCGTGTTCTTTTTAATTTCGTCACCCATTAAGCGGAAATGTTTGAACATTCAATTGAAATGCTTGTTTTTCATGTTGTGTGTTAAATCTGAATTTCTTTACATGGATGTCATGTTATCACTTTTCGTTACCGTTTTTTTATCGCCAACAGTTGAGAGTTAATATTCAGATATATTTTTAACTGATAATGTTAGTGTTTACGAATTTTAGGAGAGAATATTATATTTATACATGAAGCTCAGGCAAAAAAAAATCAGTAAAAGAGAAACTTAAAGGATGAGAACTTGGAGAATTTCCTAGAGAAAAAATATAGTTATAAGGATAGGGATATAATTAGCAGTATTTTTCTGATTTCTGAAGGTGAGGATTATATTTTTTGTTATTATTAGTTTCATTTAATGTGATGAAGGAAGAAAGTAGCTGCTGGTACACAGGGGATTTGAAAAGAAATATGGAAGTTAATATGTTCCTTATCATACACATGCGTTTGTTTTAAGTATAAGTTTTGTTATACTTTCATTATATGATAAGTATAAATAAATTCAGCAATACCTGTTGCTTTCAATTCTGCATGATGTTTTTGTGGAAATTCTAAATGTGATACAACTATTTCCATTGCTGAAAGAGATAAAGTTTTTCTTTTCCATTCTGTTTAAATTCTTAACAAGTGACTATATATGAATTATAATTTGACACACTGGGATAATGTGGAAAAAGAGAAGAATAGTATTGCAACAATATCAGCTTTGTTGTAATAAATAAAAAAAAACTGAACAAAAAAGGACACTCTACTTCTCATCAGAGAAAATTGTCTTCTTTGACAGGAATCACTTGTTTCATCATAACACTTTCATTGTAGTCAATCTTCACAGATTTTTTTCTCTTCTTTGATTTTTATTTCTTTTCCCATGGCCTTGATAACTTCAGTTGTCTTCGTTGTTATTGATCCTGATACAGAATTAGGGTAAGTGAAATTTGTTGTTGTTTTTTTCGTGACGAGTGTTTTGTTATTAATTAGGCAGAATATTTTCGGGACTTTTTTTCCTTTGGAGGGATTGTATTCAATCAATTTGACAGGGTAACATTTTGCTAATTGGATTCTAGCGATTTTGGCTAATAATAAAAGTATTTTGATTTGTGGGCTGGAATAAGGTGATGGACATGGAATAAATTGTCACACTTGTATGGCACAATCAAAGCTGGGTTGATGGTATTGATTGAATTTTTGAATTGTTGTAGAAAAATAGAAGTGACAGAAAGATATGGACTGTGAAGAGGAGGTGATTATCTGTGGAATTTTAATGTCCTAGAATACATATTAAATGATGTACAGAGTAAATGATGTTTTTTTT